GTCCCGGATTTCGGATTTGCACGTATAACTCCCGGAATAATGTACACATATAAAAAAAGATAAAGAAAAAATCACGGCGAGGAAAATTAAAATTCGTTGAATCGTTGGTAAATTTCACAAACGATTTTTTGTTTATAAACAATATTCAATAATTTAATAAAATATATTTAGTTTATTCCAATTTATTTATAACGTCAGTAGGTAATTCGTGAACAGATATTTCAAAAAGGTATCAATTTCAAAAATCGTTCTTGTGAAAATCTGTATTTTAGTATAAATGGATTGTTCCTTGAGATTCAGAAGTGCCAGGAAAACGCGTGACCTTGAAAATTTTGAAATTCAACAAATGTAACAACCCTAAGCAGAACAAATTCAATCAATGTTCACGCGCCGCCACTGGTAGATTTAATAACACTATTTGCATAATAAATGAATGTACATATCCAAAAATGTTAGTCTTATTTATCTAAAACTTAAAAAAGGCAGTAATGACTTTGCGCAAACTTTATACATATTTAACGATAGTTTTCTCTAAGATTTCTAGGTATTTATCGGTTTTATTTTATAACGTCGGTATTAATAATTGTGTAGGAGCATCCAGTTCTCGATATTTATTCCTTGATGAAGTCACTATTCTGCCGCTTATTTGTTTATGTCGAATAACTTTCATAGCTGTTTTGCTGTTTTCTCTACGGTCGTCCACCTTCTTTCTGTTATTCATTTCCACCAACGTAGATCGTGTAATGTGTTTTGTAACCTTTTACAATTTCTCTGTGGGTCTTCTGTTTTCGGTTTGTAGTTATCATTGCCTTCTTGGGACGGCGATACTGATGGAACTAAACAAAAGAGTAAAAAAACTGCAGCGGCTGCTAGTGAAACTGTACAATTTTTCTTATAAGTTTTATATTTGAATATAAGTTAGGGTTTCCAATAATTTTAAGTCAATTAAAGTTTTTAGCTATTGTAGGTCAGTTGTACAAAGTCAATAATTCATCATGTTGAGCCGCTTTAGATTAGAGTTTGTAACAAACGATAGTTTTTCTATAGAGAGGTCGAACAATTTTGTCAGTTAGTGATATCTAATGTTTTATTGGCAATGCAGAAACTGAACATGTTACCCAGACAATCATAATAATATAAATCTGCCCATGTTAATATTTGAAGTACGGTGCTTTTTCGGGTTATTATGCTGTTGCCTATGTAACTGGTTGCCGCCAATTACAGACTTCCTTAGCCTTAGCTGGAAATCTTTGACTTGCCTATGTTGTTGTCGGGCTAGCCTAACCCAACCCTGGATTCAGTGTCTTTAGTTTTCGACTACTTGGAATTATTTTCATTCTTTGTTAACTAAAAAAATAATATACAGGGTGTTGTCTTGACTAGGTCCGAATTTTGTCATATTCGGAAATTTTTGAATTTCCGAAATTCAGACCTAATTTTGCGTCGCGTCCCTTGAATTGACCTGTCGAGAAATAGGGGCTGTTGTATAGGGATAGTTTAGGCCGCACACAGCGGTTTTTGGACGCGACGGCAGGAAAATTGGAAATATCGGTGAAAACGTCCAATTCCCGTGCCTCGTCGTTTCGAAGAGGGGTGTTGACGGCATTGACTCTCGTTAAAGTCGACCATCATAGATAGTTTTTAGCTAATTGGGACGGTTTTGAGCTCGATGACGGAAAATTTGGAAAGATAGGTGAAAATTCAAAATTTGGACAGGACATAGTTAATACAATAAACATAGCCTTAACGTTAAAAATGTTGTCACCGCCGTTCTTGGTGGTGAAAATTCGAAATATTTGAAATTATTTAATTTTCATAGCTGAAAACATATATAGGTATTGCTGGTGAAAATTTGAAATATTTGGAATTATTCAATTTTTGTGGTTGAAAACAAGCATAGGTACTGAATTTTCGAAACCGAGAGAGTTGCACTAACCAAATTTGGACAGGACATGGTTAATACAATGCGAAACATCGCGTTGCTGTTAAAAATGTTGTCACCGCTGTTCTTGGAGATGAAAATTCGAAATATTTGGAATTATTCAATTTTTGTGGCACTATTTTGTGCACTAACCTTTGTACTACAGGTGTAAATGCTTTAATATTTAAAGACAAAAATTTTATTTCCTACCTAGGAATATAGCTATCCAATTCTTGGATTTAAAAAATTTCTTTTAAATACAGAAAAACACGATGCGTTATTACGAAAACATGCTATCTCAAATTTAGATTGGAAAACAGGCTACCTCAGATTTTTAAGAAAAAATATTGTATCTCACACAAAATTAAATTAGACTAGTTTAAGTTGGCTGCATTGGCGTTGAAATGCACTTTGAATGATTGAAACAGTGTACTTATAATAAACTTATATAACATATTTTTCAAAAAGTAAGGAATATTTATGTTTAGGTACACTGTCTATTTTAACTATTTGTTACATTTAACATTTTTCAATTAATTTTGTTAACCTACTGTTATAAACGACAAAATTGTTAATTCAAAAAATAGAATAATATGCAGTATGCTGCAACACGTACATTACTCGACGTTTTTTGAAATAACAATTTATATAAAAATAGTGTATACCTTAATACATAAAAATGTTTATTATTAATAAAAAATATTCGATTTTTTTCATACAAGTTTACTTTGATATAAAAATTAATAGCGCACACTTATCTTCACACGATCTTTACACGGTCGATAGCCGTACGGTTTAAGGCGTCATTACTTAAATAGATGTGCCGATCTGCCCGGGTTTCGAATCCCGCGGTCGGTAGACCGTAGATTAGCTATGTTTGTACGAAGGATTGGCACCCTCTGTGCAGGTATGGTAGGGTGGAAAAATGTTGGCTTGGGTCAATGTGAGAAATTGACACCGGTTGGCATTTGACCGCCCCCCTAATTAATGAGGTTTCCCAGATTTCCCTCATTCCTGCACTGAATGGTGGTTAGGGCCTACCAACATACATCGTTCCTGGGCGCAAATGCGACCTGCGTAATAATAATATGCCGCCTCCTCTCCCGCACAAGTCTCCGACTTATGGGCTAATTCTCGTAGTTAGAATGAGGAGTAGAGATATTATTATTATCTGATTTATACTCACTACTTTATTCTAAAAATAATTTTATATGCCTTAATGCGGACTCCAAGGAGACTGCAATAAAAAGGATTATAGTGGACCAGGCTAGGCTCCAAATTCCAGATCCGAATTGTTCTTACCTGGACAATATGCCCGTGTAGTGCAGCTATACCTGGATTGTCTTGGAAATTGCTCTTAACTTGCATTCAAATAAAGTACTGAATTTTACACACAGCTTTGTATTTGTAAATGCATAAATAAAAATATCAAACATTTTTCAGTTTTTTTTGTGAAATACGGTTTTTACAATCATTACTTTTAAATAAGAACAAGATGCAACAATTTGTAGAAAAACATCATTTATTCATAAAATTTCATTAATTAGATTTAACATAATAACCAGAATATAAATATAATGTACAAAGTTGATTGATATGTACAATAAACATGTGTGCATGGGAACCGCGGAAACGTACACGTGCATATCATCTGCTCTCCGCCCGTCGCATCAATATCCAGCAGATCATAAAGTACCGGTAATAAAAGTGTGAAACCATTTGTTTTTATTGAGGTGCAGTAAGAACGATTCGAACCCGGAGTTTGGGGCCTAGCCTGGTCCACTATATAATCCTTTTTATTGCAGCCTCCTTATTTTCAGAATAAATTGTGCATCCCAGATTTTGTGAAAAAAATACGTGTATCAAGAGTAATGACTATAAATAAGATAAAAGTACGCTATTAATTTTTATATCAAAGCAAATCGAAAAGAAATCGAATAGTTTTTAGTAACAATAAACATTTTTATATATTAAGGTAAAAACTATTTTTTTTATAATTTGTTATTTCAAAAAACGTATTTAAAAAATATATATAAGTTTGCGGTTTCAATCATTCAATGTGCATTTCAACACCAATGCAGCTAACGTAAATTTCTAGTCAAATTTAATTTTGTGTGAGATAGCATGTTTTCTCTTAAAGATCTGAACTAGCATGTTTTCCAAGCTTAATATGAGGTAACATGTTTTCCAAGTACAATTTTAGATAGCATGTTTTCCAAGCTAAATTTGAGATAGCATGTTTTCTTAGTAAGGCTCTATTTATTAATGGATTTTATTATTGTTGGTATACATAGGTATAATTCTCAATATCAGTTCTAAACTACATAGAAATATTTTGATAAATGTTTACTACAGTCGTAAGTTCACACACCCTCATAAAATTTTGATGTATTCACTATTTTCAAGAATACTGATTGTAAAATTGAAAAAATGTCTAATTGGTCGAAACTACTTATTTGGACAGGGCCGAATGGAAAATGTGGTGAATTTAGAAAACGCTCGGAGCGGGAAATAACTACTCTGTCGACTACATGCCCTAGCATTGGATTGTACTAGTAAATAAATAGTAATAAATAATTATCTAAATTGAAAACTGAAAGTAATATGTCAAAGAGAGTTAATAATAGAATATATGTTGTTTAACATATCAGTTTTACTGAATTTATATCTAGATCAACGTAACTGATTTTTCCTAGCTATATAATAGATTTCTTGATAATTTTATTAAAGTGACTGAGCGGGTAATAGTTTTCAGTATTCTGATATAAAACTGTTTATGACGTCCCTAATAGCCTCGCTATGTTTGCGAGCATCATAATCTAAAAACAAAAGTAGCTGTTGTTGCACCAACCCCGACAGCCTTGCATGTGTGCCAAAACAAAAATGCATCGCGAACTATTCATTCCCTGTGTGATAAGTCGCCTTCGATTCGCGCTGATGATTGTTATCTGTTGCGCTGCAATTAAAATGGGCAATGCCAGTTCTTCGGGTAGTAGGTAAATTCGAGCATTCGCTTAGACGTCGCGGAGCCGCGTGGACAGAAGGGAGTGGGGCCAGGACAGCGCGCGAAACCAAAATAACAAGAACCCGGCGCGAAATTATTGCAAGTCCACATCCGCGAAGCGCCAACCTCCATGCTCGCGTCTGCCGTCAAGTTCAAGTTCGGATCGTGAAGTATCTAAAACGGACAATTACAGTCCGGGTTTATATAATAAAATAAAATTTTACGTTACCAGACGATTTCAAAATGCTCTGAACCAGCTAAACCGTCGCGATGAGTGTGAAAGACAACCTGTCGAACATCAGTGACTTAGTGCTAGTCTCAAACACTTCCTCCCAAGAAGTGAACCTATATCCGTTCTCTCTGGTGGTTCCCTTCACCATAGTATACGTGATCATATTTTTCACGGGAGTGATAGGTAACGTGAGTACGTGTGTAGTTATAGCAAAAAACAAATCCATGCACACTGCCACCAACTACTACCTCTTCAGTCTGGCGGTGTCGGATATGGTCCTCTTGATTTCCGGGCTACCACCGGAAATGTACAGGATCTGGTCCCCGGACACCTACGTCTTCGGGGAAGCTTTCTGCGTGTTGCAGGGGTTCGCCGCGGAAACCTCTGCCAACGCTAGCATCCTCATCATCACAGCTTTCACCGTGGAGAGGTACCTGGCCATCTGTCATCCGTTCCTTTCACACACCATGTCTAAGCTCTCTAGAGCGGTGCGTTACATCATCGCCATTTGGATCGTGGCTTTGGCTCTGGCCATCCCGCAGGCTATACAGTTCGGTATAGAAGTGGAGGTGAAGGATGGGGTTCAGATGAGCCACTGCACGGTGGTAAAGACTTTTTTCGAGCACGCTTTTGAGATCTCGACGTTCGTGTTCTTCGTGGGGCCTATGACCCTCATATCCATTTTGTACGTGTTGATTTGGATTAGGCTGAAGAAATCGAAGAAAATCACCGCCCATAGGGTGTCGACCTGTACGACCAGCAGCTCTACCACGGAGCCGGGGAGGAAGAGGATGGTGCGCAACGCCTGCGCCCAGAATAGGGTCGTCAAAATGCTGAGTAAGTCTTTTACCTTCTTTTAGTACAAAGGGTTCCCATATTATGTGTAAAGTCTTTCCGAAGATAGTTGAGCATGTATAAAAACACCTAGCAATAAAATTTCATAGTTTCATAGACATCCCTAAAAAAAGTTTTCTGCTAAAGGCAAAAAATTATAATAATTTGAATATACGTAATGTGTAGAAAATTTCTATTATATGTTAATTTGACTAACAACATATTTTAATTATTTATGTCATCAAACAATTTTATTATATTGATGGTAAATTTAGTTTTGTTTCGTTTCAAAAGGTCTCCAAAGTGCCATGTAATAATATTAGTAAACAAATATCCCTCTTATTTCTCCCTTTCGCTATTGTAATATGAATGATTAATAGAAGGTGCCTTTAATAAATTAAAATTACTTGAATCACACCAAATTCCGCATTGCTGCACTGCACTGTTGTTAGGTCATTTGTTGACAACTGAATTTATGGCCAGGTCGCTCAGTACAGCTGTGTTTGTGCCGCGTTTGCCCGCGTGTTCATTCTTCAACTACTGAAATTGAATTAAGACAATTTAAAGAAATTCAGCTCTATTATTATTAGACAGCATCAAAAACGACACTTATAAAGAACAAACAAATTTAAAAAATCGATAGGTTTACATATTTAATTTTTTGTAGTTACTGTTCCTATTAAACAAAATATTTTCTAAAGTATTTTGCTGTGTAAATATTTCTCTTGTAATGGTTTTCTTTTAACTATTCGTTATATTAAAACACCTCGAATGTAGTTTCTATATAGATCCCAATTTTCATTTAAAAATTAATCAACTGCAATTAAAATAAAATAATAAGTACATTTTATATTGCAAGACCTCATTCCAACGTTCTCCATCTAAAACTGCTGGAAATGATCACATATAATTAAAAAAGCAATAGATTTTATTTAAGACATTCCTCATTCTACAAATTATAAACAGCAGTTTCTAATTATTGTCAAAATCATAAATATGTTTCATTGCTTTTAATATAAAGAAATGACAGACAATCAAAGACATTCTTTTAATTTACAGATTGAGTAAAATCTGGAATTAATGAAAGAGCTACGGAAGTTTAAAGGTCATTGTCAAAAAAATCATTTTCTTTTTTAACTTTCTATCTAAACAAAAAAGGTAAAGGCAAGTCGTAGGAAATTTTGTCGTGATACAAAGGAAATATATAAAAAAACAATTGACTGTCGCGTCTCGAACAAAACTATTGTTTTTTTAAATGAAATACCCTTTATATTTGTAGTTTATTAAATTCCACATCATTTGAGAACAATGATATACAGGCTGTTACAAATTCGCTTCTCACTATAGGGACTACCAACATTATGTCTCTAAAATATCAAGGCTAACATGATTAGTTTTCGAAATATTTGAAAAAAAACGAAATTTTGCCAATCCGTTTCTGTTACATTTCAGCCTTGTTTGAAGTGATATCGAAAAAAGAAGAACACTTTCTCATAGCAACTTTTTGTCCTGTATCGAATGGCATAATCAATTTTTATATATAACGTTTCGTCTCTCCAGGACCATCATCAACTTCATTTTTTTAAATACACTCGAGAAACCTAGAAATAACTATGAGCACGGGATTAAAACCGTAACAATGTTTTATTTTAACGTGTGATGGTAATATGTTAAATAACTAGGTGCATTTCACAGGGTCTAACGACACTTAGAGTGTACGATAAACGTATAAATCTAAATAAAAAGTGTAGATTTTGGAACGAATACATTGAAGATGAATTTTTCGAGGCAAAACTTCTGAATCTAGTTCGGGCTGAGGAAGTACAGTATTGGGGGTCACGAAGGCTTGCCAAAAATGTAATAAAGTTTCCAGAGTCGTATTTAAAAAAAAAAAGATGATAATGGTCCTGGAGAGACGAAACGTTACATATAAAAATTGATTATGCCATTCGATAGTGAGCAAAATGTTGCCATGACAAAGTGTTGTTTTTTCAATATCACCTCAAACAAGGCTGAAATTAAATAAACATTGATTTCCAAAACTTCGGTTTTCTCTCAAATATTTCGAAAACTAATCATGTTAGTCTTGATTTTTTAGAAGCATAATGTCGGTACCCTGATTACGCAACTTGGCCCCCATTTAAGCTAGTTTGTATCTCTTATCGTTTCCGAGATCTCTGTAGTGAGAAGCGAATTTGTAACAGCCTGTATACGGGTCATGTATTTGCTTTGATAGTTTGCACAGTTGTTTAATTTATTTACTGACTTTCCACAATATTTAGGGTCAATATTGCCATAAAACCAGTGCATATTTATTATTTTCCGCTATTAAATTTACTAAACAGAACTTTGGATACTATATAATGTGTTTTATAACACTAGCTTCGTGTTTTGTCCATAGGACACTTTTTTAAATAAAATTTTTTATAGTTTTGTGACCCGCAATTTGACGAAAGAAAGTTGTAATAATTTATACGACCGAAGAGAGCAAATATTGAATGAGGCGGGTAACAAAAAAACAATAAAATTCACCCTTTCGTCAAAAGGACCAGTCAAGGGTTAATTTTCATGAAAATAACCCTTAGTAAGGCGGTAAAATACTCATAATAAGTAAAGTGAAATCTAAAATTATGCTACAAATAAGTGACTGCTGACAATGCTTTAGTTTAGGATTTTGGGAATTTTTGGCATTTTTATAAATACAGTTACTTCAGATTCTTGGTTTCCCTTACTGTATATTTTGAAACATATCTGAATTTTAATTATATTTTTATAGAATACAGAAAATATATTTTTAAATTGTACATTTCAAACTACAATATTTGACAAAGAATTGACTTTTAATTTGATTTACATAGCAGCAAAGTTTAAGAAAAATTAAATAATAGTTAATATGCAGCAGATTATTTATTTTCTCTGTTTATTTGGGTATTTTGGGAAAGATATCTCTAAAATGATATAAATAAACCCATGTGCCAAAAGAATTAGTCAACGCTTGACTTTTTGAAACTATTTTGTCAACCAAAAATCTCACACTGCAGAAAGCAGTAAAATGTAGAACAAAAAAAACAACACTATATCATGCACTTCTTTTTTTTATAAGTCTGTTATTTTTCGGGGCGAGATTTTTGGCAAGGCAAAATATTTGATAAAAGCAGCCATAGCTCGAGAGTTTGTTTCATTAATATTGAAACAAAATGTTCGTTGGCGCCAAAATACCGCAAAATGACATATTGCCAGACCGTCGTTTTGGAACACATGAAAATAAACTTGCTTAATCTAGGGACTTTAAGTCCATATGACAGAAATGACTTCTGTACGTAAATATCAAAAAGTGACAAGTGTTAGCTTACCAAATTTTGTTTAAATTGTACAGAGCCGTACAGAGCCGTTGAATTTATGGAAATAAATAAATGAATAAACAAATATTCAACGACTCCCGCTACTAATGCAAGTAAAAGAGGTAGCTTGGAACAAAAGTAGGTTCAGTTAAATATTTTGAGCCGAAGAATATCTCTCAGCATGATTTACCCTGAATATTGAAGCATTTCGCGTAAGTGTGTAGTGAAAACGTTTCTCCAAATTTAAATTACTTGGTGTGTGGCAATGAATAAATAAGTAACTGGTTAAAATAGAATTTTTGTCATTGAAATTTTGTTTAATTAATTAAGTCTTTAAAAACCGACATTTATTACGTCCCTGAGATGTAAACACACATGTAAAAGGTGTAATTTATTATCTATTTTGACAGACATCTACTGGTTAATTTTAAAGACGACAGTTATCTTTTTCACGCTCTTGTTTACTCTTACAACAATTAGAAATGCAAAATAATTTAAATTGCTACTACTAATAATTAAATTCTTTATATTTCTATCCTTAAAATTAAAATGATTTTAATTTTCAAGTAGGTTATATACACTTTTGGTATATAATTGTTCAATTTACTATTTACTACTTATGATACGGGTATTAGTAATATAAATATCCAGAGCTCATAAAAAAACTCATCTACCCATTCACGCATTATTACTTTCACCAATCGATCAAAGACCAGTTACATAATATTGATTTTAAGCATGTCTGGCATCGCTAGAAATAATTGCTCTGAATTTGTATAAAAAACCCGTGACATGTGAAAAACTATATTAACCGCTGAGATCTGCATGTGTATCCACCTGTTTCACCTGTAAAATTGTATTTATGTAGGTACTGTCTGTCTTTTGATATTAATCGAAGTTATGGTAACCTGTTTTATACAGGGTGTAAGAAGTTTGACTGCCATTACTTTAGCATGAGATAGAGTAATCATAAATGAACAAAAAAGTTGTATATTACAGGGACGTACAGTTAACAGTTGTCAAACTAGAGCGAGTATTAATATTAGGGAGTTTCATCACAACGTGACAACAGCGCTTAACCTAACGCTACACAGCTGGTGCATATCACGTGTGCACATGGCAGACTTGTCCTACGGAAAAAATGTAAACAACTATTATTGTGAAACATTTAGTAAATTTCAAGACAATTGTTTTCCAGTTTTTAAATAAATAAAATAAAATTTATCGATTTTGTAGTACGAAGATAGTGTTGTGCTTACATTTTAGCTCGAATTTTAGTAATTATTAATCTCTTAAAACAGGAACTTAACTTTTAATCAAAGTACGTATTTGAAAAATATGAATTAAAGTACCCAAAAATTCACGACGTTGAAATAATCATACGTATTAAAAATAATTTAGGTACTTACCAAAAAACAAAATTCAGTAATTTTTAAACGTACAAGTACAAAACAAACTACAACATATGCTCAAAATGTCCACCACCATTTTCGACGCACGCACGACACCTTAGAATACAATTTTCGCGCACTCGCTGGAAAACGCCTCAACAAAAGGAAATAGTGATACGCAAAAAACATTCAGACACGGTCCAATTCCAGATACCAACTGAATTGCGTAATGCTGGACAGCTTAGTACCTCGCCGTTGTCATATTGCTCAA